CACGTGATTGAGATAACGCAAAGCGCTTCATAGAATATACTGTAAAGTGAATTGACTGGGTATGTTTGTGGGCGAAACGCAGCAGCCAGTTGCGCTGTACAGCATATTCAAAGTGCTGGGTTTCCTGCGTCTTGTAAACCTAAGATTGAAAACTACACACAGTGGAACATTCCCTCCTCCTGACCTTGTGCAAAGGATGAGGTCCAAAGTTACTTGTGTCAGCCATTGAGCCAGCTGGTGTCACTTTTGTAGCTGCCATTACAAAGCCCAGCATTTCAGATCCACTTCACAGAGTGGAGGCTTAATGCGTCTTTAAGGAGCAGCAAATCTGAACAGTGTGATCATCATGATAGCAAATGTTAAACTTTCTTCTGATTTAATCAGATTTGCATAATACAGTTCACACAGTGAAGCAAACATAGTGATATACTTCTGAGAAAAGTGCAACTGATCAAATTACTTATCCACATGGGCTTCGCCCTCTCAATCTGAAGTATAACAGCCATCAAAGGGCTTTTTACATCCGAACTTCACTTGTGACCTTGTCATCTTCAGAGCATGACTGTGTTTTCATTTCAGTTCAGTTGTATATTTCTCCTCTTGTTTTATTTGTATTTGCAGCTTTTAAAATAAAGAGGAAGAAATCTTTTTAAAACACATCCAGGTCTCGCAAAGAAGAAACAAAACAATTTCTGATTGATTGAGTTTAATGATCGGAGAGCAGACAGGAAGTATCACTGTATGTCACTTCCTATCTGCTGCTCTACTGTGTGAAATGTCAAACCAAATGAAGGGGAAAAAATAAATTTCGATGGGCTGATAGATTGCATTTTTCTAATCTTTTATGTAGTTTATGTAGTTTATCTTTTTCTCCGTCAATAGTAATGACATTCAGTTAATAAATCAACCTACTGTTGGTGCAGCCGCTATAGCTGTTTGTACCAGTAGCAACATGCTAGGAAAATTATTGAGTTTGAAAGACATAAAAGTCAAGGATAGCACAGGCACAAGTGATTTATGGTCTTCTGCTTGAGTGACAGAACCTTGGTATGCTAATGCTAATTGTTTCATTATCTAATACAAAACCATTACTTGTTTTTTTCTCTCTAGGTTCTGTTGCTATAATCTCATTTGCTGCCTATAATTTTATCACTTTTTATTGAGAACAAGTTACTCTCTTCTGGATAGTAAATGTTCAGATTTTAGTGGTGTGATATTCGGATGGAATTATAGACCAACATTAATGAGGTCCTTAAATTGCCTGACCTTGGAAGAATTACCCTTGTTAAGGACATACAGTGTTGAAGCAGTTCATCCCTGATTATTGAAAGGCCTGCACAATATAATATGTTTATACAGCACCTTTCAGTTCAGGAGGACTTCCCAAAGTGCTTAACAACACTGGCTTGGTATTTAAGCTGGGGTGGGAGGGGAAGAATGACGAAAAGCATGGTTAAAGAGATAGGTCTTGAGCCAGACCTTGAAAAGGTGAGGGAGAGAGCAAATCGGAGGAGACTCCAGGTGAAGCAGGCAGATGCCCGTTGAGCAAAGAGAGCACCTCTGAAATGGGAAAGGCATGATATATGAAGAAGTGAAATACGTTTCTGAAGCTCTCTGTCACTGGTGAGGTATTCTGTTCATTCTGGGGGAGTGTAGCAATGATAAATTGATTCTGGAAGATCACTCCTGCCACTGACTCACTTCTCTGTTTTCTTTTTTATCATTTGTGTTGCTCACATATTTGAAATAGCAATCCTCTGGGCAATGCATGTTGGCTATTGAATATAAATCAGAAGATATATAAGGTGCTCCAAAAAGCATGGAAAAATAGTTAGATCCTTCTCAGTTGTGCTAGAGATATTAATTTAATTTAATAATCTCTGCAGGCTATGCGTTATTACAGTTTTTGGGGCTAGAATCCTAAGTGACTAACTCAGACGCAATTATGTAATGTGAAATTGTTTTCACCATAGCCTTTAACTGTAATTTTGAGTGTTACATTTCAAAGTGATTGATGCCAGAAACTCATGGTATTTTTGTCCAATATCCTTGAGATGTCATCTGCTGCCCTTGAAGCTAGTAGCATTTGTCCCTTCTCTCTGTGCAAGGGAGCGAACAGCAGGAGCCAAGACAGTTGGTATGGAATCAGAGAAGCAGAATAATAAATCCATGAAAAATAAATAAAGCCAGAAATAAGCTCCCTGCTGTCTGTAGTCTGCCTTGTCCAATACCGAATGCCCTTCAGATGTTTACAAGTAAACATTTAACAGTGCTTAAAATGGATTTGACTACTGCCTAATACAAATAATGCAGCTTGTAGCAAAGTAATTAATGTTCCACAGTAGCTTGTTCACATTGCCTCCCTCCAATGGAGCAGGCTTGATTTCAGTCTTCAGAAAATGAGTGAGGCACATTCTAGAATGATTGTAAGATTGTGAAAACACTCGAAACAAGGAAAGGCCATTCAGCCTTTCGAGTCGCTCCCTCCACAGCCATGCAAAACTTCACTCTACCCACTCTCCTGCTTTATCTGCAGAGGTATGAGGGGGTGGGGAGGGGAACTCTTCAAAGGCACAGAGTCCCAGTGTCAGTCGAGCAACAACTTCAGAATATTTTTCCATTCCTACATCTCCATTATTCAACTCTATCCTCCTTCCCTCCCCCAAACATTTCTCTCTCCTTCTTCCTCCAATCTCAGCAACCCAGAAACACCTTGTGTTCTGTTCATCTCAGTTTGCACCTTAACCTTACATCCTGCAACACTGACCTCAAGCAGCTTATCCAGTTCTGATTTGGAAAGATTTACTTCAACAGCTTTGTTGCCTATCACTAACACGTGCCACTCATTTATCAAACAAAAATATAACACAATATATGAAGGTACACAAGAATGCAGAATTAGGTGGGGAACAGCTCAATGGTGTAGTGGATAGAGAGGCAGCTTATGAAACTGGAACTTGTTGGTTCAAATCCCGGACTGTGCTGAGATTACTAGTCTCAGGAGTTGCAGAAGAAGGACAAATTGTTCCTGGCTTTCTCAGAGTTAGGGATGGAAATGTTAGCTATGGTTCCTGCTCATGGTCTCTCTGCAGGAGTCTCTGCTGGTTGTGTGCATCTGTGGCAGATGATTGCAGAAAGGTCAGGCTCGGGCACACTACATTTATTTGAAACAAAATACAGAATTGCAGATGTCATCTCCTGCAGTCTTCAAGTAGACAACCATATCACAAGACTTTCCCAGCACATGAGTACTAAATAGATCCTCAACTTACAATGACAACTGCTTGAAATTGAAGAACAATGATCAAAAATGACAGATAAATTGAATTTGTAAATTATAGAGTAACAGCAAGCAGTGAGATACATGCAAAATTCTGAATAATCAATAAATAAACCTTGCATTTGACCCAATACTTCGCCATGTCTTCGAAATGTCTCAGAGCATTTTCTTGTAATATAGGTGAAACTCTACAAATTCAACTGATTCACTGAATAGATATATGTTAGTTTGTTAATGTGGAGGGAAAAAAGAATGAGGAAGATTAAGCAAAATAGTGATGCAAAGATGTAAAGATCATGTTTAAAGTTTTCAGTGACTTAAGACACGCAAATACATATCAGAAAGGACAGCTCTGCAAAAAATCTACAGAAATCAAGAAGGTGCAATTGAGGAGGAATTTGAGCTGGAAACAGTTCCTAGAACTATCGTCAGCACATCGATTTAATTTGCTGCAATTTAAATGCAGATGGTGTGAATTGATCGATTCGGCTTACATTCAAAAACCGTCTCTTAAAATATTTTGGCCTGTCCAATAACGGGGAGGGGAAGGACAGATAAGAAGGAAGGTCAGATTTCAATTCAAGCAGTGACATGCAAACTACTGCTAGGTTGATGGAAAATTAAAGTGATTGAGGTTGAGATTGAGACCATCAAGAATGTCAAGGGCAGCGTGTTTCCATATTGATGTTTTAAATAGGAACTTACAACTCGTGCCACACCTTGCCCGCCCCACCATTGGTGGGTGGGTGTGCCTTTTGTCTCTCTGACCCCACCCTCTGGCACTCCACCCCGCAGTCCCTCCGCCTCGGCCCCTCCCATGTCTCCTTCAAGACCCGTCTCAAGTCGTTCCTCTTCGTCTGTGCCTTTGGTCCCATAGGAATTAGGAGCAGGAGTAGGCCATTCGGACCCTTGAGCCTGCCCCACCATTCAATAAGATCATGAATCCCCTACCCTCCCTACCCTCCACCCCTCAACCACCAGTTTGGGTGCAGATCACTGACTAACCAGCGCCTTGGGACGTCCTCCTGACGTAAAAGGTGCTATACAAATTTGTTGTGTTGTTTGCTGACTTCTGCACAAAAGAATTCTCTTTTCACTACTATTGACTCAGGAACCAATTGTGTAGGCAGCTCCTGTTAAGATGCTTTAATCTTAAGAGGACATAAATATATATATGAAACGAAATAGCCTGTGACTGCACAGGTCTATTGCAGAATGTTATAATCCAGTAAATGGTAAGAGCATGTTTGTTGTGTAGAGAAGACTTGCCATGCGTCAGCTTGGTTCAATGATAGCAATCTCGAGTCAAAAGGTTGTGGGTTCAAATCCCATGTTGGGACTTGGAATCACATAGTCTAAGCTGACTCTACAATGCAGTCTGGGGGGTTTCATTGTCGGAGGTGCCGTCCTTCGCATGAGATGTTAAACTGAGGTCTCGTCTGCCTGTTCAGGTGGAAGTTAAAGACCTTGTGGCACTACTCAAAAAGAAAGGAAATTTCTCCTGGTGTCCTGGACAATAATTCCCCAAATAAAATCGGTCACTCATTTCATGGCTGTTTCTAGGACATGACTGTGTGCAATTGTGCTGCCGAATTACTATTATTATTTAAATACAAACAAATTTCAGGTGCTGATTATAATCAATTAAGATGCATTTCAGGGTTTGCGTGGTGGCGGGTTAAGTTGACATCATCTTTAATTGTTTATCTTTCCTCTCCAGGAAAATTCCGCGAGAGAGCATCGATCCTTCACAAAATGGCCAAAAAGAAATGTCAGTTAGTGGACTGTGAAAAACCCAATGGAACTGCAAATCACACAGGTATTTGGGTTTGTTTTAACATCGCTGATCAGTAGCGCACATACTCACATCTCTGTCTTGTACCTTATAGCACGCAGACACACTCACAAGTAAATGATTTTTTCTGACCAGTTTTGGTTTCCAGCATTTCTGGAATTCCAAGCATATTTAAGAACTCTCCCAAATGCCTCATTTAGTTCAATAAAAAGCCTCTTGCCCAGAGAAAAACTGAGCCATACAGACCAGGAAGGTCCTAACGTTGGATCCCTCTGTCCTGAGTTAGCTCATCTCAATAGGGTGACATTCGGGAAGCAAGCAATCCAGCAGATCTGCCCTTGTAAAAGAACAGAGCTTCATTTTAGCTATGATCAGGGATACTAGCACCAGCACAAGTACAATGTTCCAAATGGCCTCTTCCTCTGCTGCAAACATTCTGCAATTCTAAACTACGCAGAAAGAAAAGAAGAAATTCATTAAACATACTTTTTTGTTGAAGCACATGGGTGTGTAGGGGTGGGGGTGTGATATTCTTTGATAAGTTACCCAAACGTTTTTCTCTTTTACCATTGTCAAGATGTATTATGTTTATCAGCTCGCAAAGCACCATCCGCATGTTTTCATCCAAACGTATTTTTTTTAAAATTACTTTATTTACTGTTCCTGCAGTTAATTTGGGAAATTTAACTTAAATCTTTCAAAGAATTGAAACAAATGATTATTTTCAGACACTGCACACAAACTGCAAATGGCACAGACATTCTTCGAGTTTTAAACCAAACTGCTTCAGTCTAGTTTGTGTGCAGCACCTGGTTTGTTTATCGGTGGTTACTTAATCTGGCAAATCATAGGCACATTATTTAATGTATTACTATCTCATTTAATAACATTTTATTATAGTCATCACTTCCAATCTTAATTGATTAGCAGTGAAACATTTGGATGGAAGTAAATTTCTCCAATTTTAGAAATAACTGCAGTACAGGAAATATATTCAGTATTATTGATGGGAGGTCCAGCTGGCTGGTTTAATGAATGGCACATGTAAGATGTAGTTCTGCCAAATCCACCAATATAATCAGATGTAGTTCCAAACACGTCAGGAAGTTAGCCATGGGACAAAGGCAGATTGGTTCCCATCTCATTTGTGTTGTATCAAGACTGGGCAATCTTCTTCTATAATCTTCATTTGAACAACTTCTTTCTGCACTTGTCAGAACTTCCAAACCTTTTCAGTGTCACTTAGACACGCTGGAAACTTTTGAAGTTTAGTGCATCACAATTGTTTAGATTTCTGGACAGCTCCATACATACTATACATGTCCTTCGGATGAGACATTAAACCCAGACCCTGTCTGCCTGTTCAGGAGGACATTAAAATCCCATGGCACTATTTGAAAGAGAGAGGAGTTTCTCCTGGCCAACAATCTCCCAAATAAAATTGGTCATTCATTCATGGCTATTTGTGAGACATTGCTTTATGCAAATTGGCTGCTACACTCATCCACAAAAACAACAGCAACAAAATTACATGTGTAAAGCACCTTTCAGGTCGGGAGGACATCCCAAGGCACTGGACAGTCAGTGTTTCGGACCCGAGCTGGGGATCAGAATTGAGGAGGGTGGAAGGCAGGGAGATCAAAAGCACGGTCGAAAAGGAGGGTCTTGAGATGTGTCTTGAAGGAGGCAAGTGGGGGCGAGGTGAAGGGATGTGGGATGGAGTTCCAGAGAGTGGGTGCAGAGTGGCCGAAGGCCCGCCTGCCAATGGTGGGGCGGGTGAGGCAGAGGATGTGAAGCAGGCCGGAGCCCGCTGAGTGGAGGGAGCAGGCAAGATGATAGGAGGTCGCAGAGATAGGGGGGAGCAAGACCATTGAGGGCTTTGAAGGTAACGACCGGGATCTTGGACTGTATCCTCTGTGTGATGGGAAACCAGTGGAGTCGGGCAAGGATGGGGGTTATAGAGTCATGGAGCCTGGTGTGGGAGAGGACACTGGCTTCTGGATGATCTGAAGCCTATGGAGGGAGGAGTTGGGGAGGCCAACATGCAAGGAGTTTGCATAGTCAAGCCTCAATGAAATGAATGCGTGTATGAGGGTTTCGGCGGCTGCAGGATGTGGGGTAGAAAGGATAGTTGAGGGTCAAACAAGACGCCAAGGTTCCAGACTGGCTCAGTGAGGTTGAGTGTGAAACCATGGATGGTGATGGTGTCAGTGCCTGAGGTGTGGAGGCGCTGACAGAAGCCAATCAGGAGAGCCTCGGTCTTGTTGACATTCAACTGAAGGAAGTTAGCTCTCATCCAGGACTTGATGTCTGACAGATATTCTGTCAGGATAGCAGTGATCCTGGAGTCAAGGGTGGAGGCAGACAGATAGAGTTGGGTGTCATCTGCAGACATGTGGAAGTTGACCCCATGTCTGCGGATGATGTCACCGTGAGGGACCATATAGATATTGAAGAGGAGGGGACCAAAGACAGACCCCTGAGGAACGCCTCACGAGATGGTGCAGGGGTTTAGAGGAGAAACCATTTGTGAAGATGAGGTGAGGCGGTGTGAGAGGTACGATCTGAACCAGTCCAGGACAGAGCCGTGAAGGTTGAGCTGAGAGGAGAGGCCGTGTCAAAGGCAGCAGAGAGGTCAAGGAGGACGAGGAGACAGAGGGAGCCCTGGTCGCAGATGGACAGAATGTCATTTGTCACTTTGACCACAATCTTTACTGCAGTTAGAGTACTATATACTCTGTGTGGCGCTTTGAGATGTGCTCCTGATGTGAACGGCACTGTACTAAATGTAATTATTATTATTATTATTATGTAATGTAAAGGTTAGAGTGCGTGCCTGTACCATAAAAGCACTGTTAACTGTTTGTTGCAGTCTTGTGGCACCAGTTGAGTGTCTGACACACGCAGAAACCTGTCACCATGTTTAAGAGTAACCAAAGCAGATTGAGAGTTCCTCATGTGTATGTCACTTATACATGGAAATTTCTCAGCGTAGGCAACATACAACATACTCGACACGCCTCTGTTTACCTAGCAGTAAGTAGGAACCCGGTTGTTAATCAATTGGCAGATCGCTTTTCTGGGGGTAATGATTCATTCAAAAATAAATAAATTAATAATAAATTGGTCATTTCAATCCATGACTGTTTGTGGGACACTGCTGTGCGCAATTGGCTGCCACGTTTCACCCACAAAATACAGTATATGCTGTGAAGTGCTTTGAGACATCTTGAAGACGTGATAAGGCGCTATATCAAATGCAAAGATTATTATTATATTTTTACATGTGGAACTGTTAATCTGGTTTGGATACTCTTAAACATGATGATGGGAATCCTCTTGTTCAAATCCCTCCATGGCCTCACCTTATCCTACATTGGCATCCACCAGCAACCCTACCAACCCAGCCGTCAACTGCATTCAGCAAACACTGTCTTGCTTCATATCCCCTGCTGGTCTACCTCACCGTTGACGGGCGAGCTTTCAGATATTCTGACCCCATTTTCTGGAACCCCATACTGCATCTCTCTGCCTCACCCCCTTCCCTCCCCTCTTTTTAAAGCGTGCCTTAAGATTTGCCTCTTTGACAATGCTTGGGGTCATCTCCGCCCCACCACCCCACACACATTCCTCAGCTCCCCCCTGCACTGGAAATGAATCCTGTCGGAGCACAGTATACTCAGCGCAGTTGTTCCAGTTCCAGTTAGCTGTGTGAAGTGTTTTGAGACGTCCTTCTAATGTGAAAGGCATTGCATAAAAGTAAATTGTTATTTGTTGTTGTACCTGAAACATGTTCCTCACTTTATCCACTGCAGACAAAGTGGACGTGCCCAATACAGCCAATGTAGAAGTTGAAGTGACACCTCCAAAGGATCCTCCTGCAATACAGAATGGAGGCATGGGACATGGAGAAGAAGCTGCAGTGGGACAGGTAAGTGATGGTTGTTGAACCCTCGGGTGGGGAGATATGGACAAATCCACCAAGTACAGACTTAACAATTCAACTCTGGGTAACACTGAAATATAATCTGCAGTAGTCACAAAAGCATTTATGATTAGGGATTGTTGGGTGTGACCTGGCTTGGCTGACCCACTGGAAGATACTTCAGACTCCCATGAAGTTGACATCTGAGCAAAGTTCCCGAGGGTTGACTGGGAACCATTCCAGAATTCACTGGAATTCACAAATCATTTTGCAAATCAGAGACCATTAGCTCAGGTTCCCATTTCCATTCTTTTACAAGCTGCAAATGTGCAGCATATTATGAGTTAAATGTAAGTAATTCAGTGAGAATATTAGCAATGTAAAAATATTTTCAGCTGAAAGCAATTCTCACATCAGCCACACTGAGAGAAGCTGCATGGCCAGAAGTGGCCAACAAATGCTCAATATGTAATTTTGACCATACATTTTCTCATTTGTCAAAGTATAATTCCTCTTTGGGTGATTTCGAATGAGCAGTGTTATACAATTGAAGTAAATAACCAAGCGATCAAATGGGAAATCATTCTTTCCTAATGAACAGAGTCAAACTCCAATGATCTGAACGAGCCATCTGGCTGAGAACTAGCAAAGTGCAGCCAACTGGGAAAAGCAACTGTGAGAGCAATGGGACTCAGCTTGGCCAGAGGAGGGCTCCAAAATATCCAGAGCATGTGCTGAAATGTGCCATACAGCTAGTGCTGGCTGGTGAAATGGTTGAGTAGTGTCAGTCTGTTACGTGAGCTGCCAAAGAATAGTCTTAAGATGTCGAATTCAAGATCCTCATCCTCACCTACAAGGCCATTCACAGCCTTGCTCCCTCCTACCTCTCTGACCTACTATCCCCCTACCTACCTGCCCGTACCCTCCGTTCCTCTGGCTCCGGTCTGCTCCACATCCCCCGCCCCAACCGCCCTACCATTGGTAGCCGGGCTTTCAGCCCCTAGGCTCTGGAACTCTATCCCCCAGTGCCTTCGCCTTGCTTCCTACCTTCCTCCTTCAAGGCCGGTCTCAAGACCTTTCTCTTTGACCGTGCCTTCAGCTCCCCTCTCGACTCTCTACCCCCTCCTCGCTCCCTCCCTTCCCTCACCCTGACCATTTCCCCCCTGCTCGGGTCCTGACCCAACTGTACAGCGCCTTGGGACATCCTCCCGACGTGAAAGGCGCTCTATAAATGGAATCTTGTTGTTGTTGTTGTCACTCTAATGCTACGTTGTAGGAATGCTGCATTTCACGTGGTGTCACATTGTAAAAGATAATGTCCTATGGATGAGAAGCTAAACCGAGGTCCATTGCCTATTCAGATGGATTTTAAAGATCCCATGGCACTGGTGAAAAAGAGAAGGGAGTTGCTCCTGGTATTCTGACTGAAAATCCTCCAGATAAATTGCACATCTACCACCTGGATGATTGTGGGAAATTGGTGAAGAATGAGATACTTTTCTATATTGACACCCAGTATGGGTATCAAGTACTCTCAGTCAGGCCAGTTATACAGTGAGGCTCTACACCTAATAGTGTGCCTTAACTTCAAAATGAGAGGAATATCCCCTAGAGTGCCATTTCTGATACCAGGCTCCCATTTTGATATCAGGTTCCTATTTCTGCCTCAGTCTAATTGCAAACAGTGCCTTTTATCAGACCTCCCTGTTGGGTTCAAAGGTGGGGCCATAAGTGGAACTAACCACCCTGTTCAGAATTGGACAAAAAATGAGAATAGAAAAGACTGTTTCGCCAAACATAAAATCGTGAACCCGAGAACAGAGAAACTGAAGTCATTTGTATTCTATGCTCAACAACTCAATTAATTACTGAGGCAAAAAGACATATATTCTTTCATTGATTCAATAAACAGGGTTACAATAGACAATATTATGCTCGCTTAGAGTAGATGACACTGGTGACAATTTCAAAGTTCATAGCATAGACAGCTGATAAAATTCTCTTGTTTCATTTTGGGGACTCTGATAATAGCAAGCGTTGAATCTTTTGTAATTGTATTTTTGTATCGTCGATGTCTGTTTTTTTCTTTTCCTGCTATTTCTTGAATCTTGGACACTTTAGTGGCTTGCATCTCGGAACCAAGGGTGGGAGTTCTGCTTTCCTGGAGGAGCCATTGATGTATTTGCTGTCGTGCCAACTCAAACTGCCAAAGTTTGGCTCGGCTATGTGTCTTTATATCATGGTTCTTTACTTTAGGCTGATCTATGCATCTCAGCATGTTCTCACCCACCAGGTGATTGTTTGATCACATTGCGCTTGGATCCTTTGCCTGAGTCTGATTAAGACAATACAGCACTGCACAACAGCAATTAACACAATAGCTACAACTGGAATAACAAATTCACTTCTTCCTTCTTAGCCAATAAAACTCTTCATAATACAATGCCCAGCATACAGTATGGACATCTTCTTTTAACATTTTATCCAGAGTTATATCAACTACCCATAACACCTGTCATGTTTAGGTAGCGGTTCTGCAGTTCAATAATGAAAATTATATTTCTGCAAGTCATCTCAAAACCGTCATCTGAGGAGTCGTAGCTGAGTGGAAGCCATTTCAGTCTTGGCTGTGAGAATTTTAGATTATGTTGGCTTTGTTGATGCTCAGTAGGGTACCAGGCATCTGTCCAACTGTGACAGCTTCTGAATCTAACTAAACATATTTCTCTATTGAATGACAGCAGGAGAGCATATTCCTCAGATATGTTTGTTTTTATTTGCTGTACTCATCCTTCAAATGGTTGATTACTTGCCTCCCTGTCGGAAGGTCCCAGGTTTATGTCCCATAATTGCCTGTTGCTCAAATTGACTATCCTCACCTCAGTGAGTTGAGTTGCCTCTCGGGCTAGTAATTAGGTGGTGAGCTACATGGAAACAAAATGTAATGTCTTGGAAGGAAAGGTGGAGAGAGAGAAAGAAGCTGCTGTCGGAGAAGAAAGATTGGACACATAAATTATACAGTAGAACCCTATTATAACACTTTTCATTAAAATGATATGTTTAAAGTATGAATGAGGTGTGAACCCTGACATTTTCTTAGCACAATTGTACCAAGTCTGAGGTAAGAGAGGAGTGCAAAAGAGCAGGGCTGGCACTGAGTGAGACAGGAGAGCTGGCACAGTGGGGAAGGGATGAGAGAAGGGTTTGTCCTGTAGAAATCCTGGGGAGAAGATTTTAGTTAGCTCTGTACATAATATTTTGCAAGGTGACCTGATATCCCCACTGTTTTCATTGTCTACATTGTGATCTGTTCCAATTATTAGGGCTCTCTACTATAGAGTGAAATTGACACTGGATGATTTCTGAACAGCTTTACCGGCTGAGTCTTTAACAAAAGTAATTTAGCAGCAACAGGTTCATTTGTAATATCATTTTACATTATCGTGAAGCAGTTGCTTAGGGTACAAAAGCAAGTTAATTTAGCATCAGCTTCTGTGCCCAAACTATTTGATTGCTTTGCAAATGCAGACCTGTAGATGAGTAAAGATGAAACTTACCCTAATGGCCAGTTCATTTGACCTTTTGTGCAACAGTCTGACAGTTGGTAGCACTCTCGCTCAGAAAGTTGTGGGTTCAAGCCCCACGTCGGGGATCACATAGTTTAAGCTGCCACTACAATGCAGCCCTGGGGGTGGGTTACATTGTCAGAGGTATTGTCTTTCAGATGAGACATTAAACCGAGTCCCATTTGCCCGTTCAAGTGGACTTTAAAGATCCCATGGCATTGTTTGAAAAGAAAAGGGGGTTTCTCCCAGGGGTCCTGGCCAACAATCCCCAAACTAAAAATTGGTCACTCACTCCATCGCTGTTTGTGGGACATTACTGGGCACAAATTGGCTGACATGTTTCACTCACAAAATACACAGTCAGTCCACTTTGCAATATATCCTGTGAAGTGCTTTGAGATTTCTCGACGATCTAATAAGGCGCTATATCAAAGGCTAGGATTATTATAACTGCAGCAATATTGTTTTTTTGTGTTGACTGAGGAAATGTTACTGGAATATGTATGGCTGATGGTGGCAGTGGGGGGGTCAAAATAGCAGTGGTTCCCAATGAGATTCACTCCAAGTTGCTAAGTGGGAATCCTGCCGATAACCAGCAGTAAGTCATAGGAGCCCTGTTGGCAGGCACCAGCAATAAATTGTGGGGTTCCTGTCAGCTGGACGTGGTAGTTGTGGTAATGGTGGTGGAGGGTTTCAAACCTCTAAATAAAGGCAGATTTGAACCACATTTTCCACCCTTGTGAATGTTATGACCCATCACACTTTGCTGCCCCATTAAAATAAATTCGATCGCGAGGCACCAATGCTTCCAATATATGGTCCATTGTGACTTCTTAACATTCCAACTGAAACCACTCATATCGGAAAACCCACTGTGGAAATTAGACTCTTGCTGTCACTCTGATCTTCCCTTTCTCACACGTGCAGCTGGCAGACAGTCCTGTGTAATGCTTATCGGATGTATTTCTTTTTACAACGCAAAGTCTCATCACTGCGAGAGATCAAACCATTTATACCCAGATGCGGTTGGGCGGCTCCTTTATCTGTTTCGGAGTTGTTTGTCCTTTCAGCATGCAGCGTGCGTGAAGGGTACCTAACACTCCAGGGGCTCCATTCCCATCTACATTCAACTGTTTTAAATCAGCATCTCCCATTGAAATGGAATGAGGTAGATCAAGGTAGACCAGCTATCTAGTAAGCATTAATTAGAACTCAGCATCAGAGACATTCAAGCGTTTTACAGAACCTGTGCTTTCCTGCTCATTGCATATAGACCACCAAATAGTGGGAAGGAGATAGATGAGCAAATCTACAAGCAGATTTCAGAAAGATGCAAAACCAATAGAATAGTGATAATGGGGGATTTCAATTATCCTCACATAGACTGGCAAAATAACAGTGTAAAGGGCAAGGGGAGGATTCCTGAAATGTGTGCACCTT